AGTAATCACCCTAGGCTCTTGTCATGAGTTGCCAAGGCTAAGGAAGCCTTTTGAGTACGTCGACTCTGCTCATATTTCAAGGTCATAGACAAAGTGGAAGTTCTCTCCTCCCTTCAGAGAAAGGTACCTCCTTCTTTGATGACCTGTTTGTGGAGAGATTTTTTTAATAAAGAATGTGAAGGCATTTATTTTAGGTTGTGAAAACATTTATTTTCATTTACTTGATATGAGAGGAATACACAGAGAGAAAGGGAGACAAACAGAAAGCAATCTAGCAACTGGTGGTTCACGCCACAGGTACCTTCAAGAGTCAGTGTTGCACCAGACCAGTTCTGAAAGTAGAAACACAGCTGGGTCTCACACATGGGCGGCAGAGACTCAACTACGGGATCCATCACCCACTGCCTACCAATGTGGAGCAGAGGCAGACTCTGATCCAAGCAGCAGCTGGGTAGAAATTCTGCCCAGAAATGCCAAAAAGGAGCCCAGGAAGTAAGACAAAATCTATGCACAAGGAACAAAAATCTCAATTTCGACTGCTAAACATGATTCATATATAGTTCACCAATGTGAGCAATGGCGTTGTGTGTAAAAATTAGGTATCTCATTTTATTTTTCTCCTCCAGGTAGTCATTTCAACCACATGGAACCAGGGAATGACACTCAACTTTCAGAATTCCTCCTTCTGGGATTCTCAGAGGACCTAGCACTGCAGCACCTCATATTTGGGCTCTTCCTCTCCATGTACCTGGTCACTGTGGCTGGGAACCTGCTCATCGTCCTGGCCATCCTCTCAGACCCCCACCTCCACACACCCATGTACTTCTTCCTCTCCAACCTGTCCTTGGTGGATGTCTGCTTAACCTCCACCACCGTCCCCAAGATGCTGGTGAACATCCAGACGCAGAGCCAAGCCATCAGCTATGCAGGCTGCATCACCCAGATGTTCTTTTTCTTACTCTTTGGAGTGTTGGACGACTTCCTTTTAGCTGTGATGGCCTATGACAGGTTTGTAGCCATCTGTCACCCCCTGCACCACATGGCCATCATGCACCCTAGACTATGTGTGCAGCTGGTTTTGCTGTGCTGGGTCATCAGTGTCCTGCATGCCTTGTTGCACAGCCTACTGGTGCTGCGGCTGTCCTTCTGTGCACACCCGGAAATCCCCCACTTCTTCTGTGAGCTGAACCAGGTGATCCAGATTGCCTGCTCTGACACCTTTCTCAATGATCTGGTGGTCTATTTTGCATCTGTGCTGCTGGATGGAGTTCCCTTGGCTGGGATCCTGTACTCCTACTCTAGGATCGTCTCCTCCATCCGTGCCATCTCCTCATCTCAGGGGAAGCATAAAGCATTCTCCACCTGTGCCTCTCACCTCTCCGTCGTCTCCTTATTTTATTCCACAGGAATAGGAGTGTATATTAGCTCTTCTGTTACCCAAAACCCACAAGCAACTGCAGTGGCCTCGGTGATGTACACCATGGTCACCCCCATGCTGAACCCCTTCATCTACAGTCTAAGGAATGAGGACATAAAGAGAGCCCTGAAAAGATCTTTGGAAGGGAAACCACGAATGGACAACGATCTTGGGACTGAAGAAGTGTGACGTATTGTAGGAATCAATCCCTCAGAAGCGGAGATTCTTACTGTCCATCTAGTGGTGAAAGTAAAATTTTCTCCTCTGTTCATTTACTGGAGTTTCCATGACCTTGACTTCAACTTCTGTATCCAGTTTAAGCCACTCACTTACCAAGCCTTCTGCTTTCTTCTGTTTCCCATAACTTTCCCATACCTTTCCCAGGTGTTCCTAACATTGGGTTGGAAATATTTGGAAATTCCCATTTGTCTGACAGGACAATAGTATACTTAATAATTTGTCTTTAATGAAATATACTGTACTGAGTAGTATTTCTTTTATGCAGAACAACACCATTTTGTTTACTATTACAGATAGGTTACCTGGGGCAGCTAAGATTATTTTCATACTTTATAGTATAGGAAAATCTGAGATCAGTTTTTCTCTTTTAAATTCCTTATTGATCTGGTTTGGCATTGTGGCATAAAGGATTAAGACACTGCCTGTTATATCAACATCCCCTATGGACGCTGGTTCGAGTCCTGGCTGCTCCACTTTCATCCAGCTCCCTGCTAATGCACTGGAAAGAAGCAAAATATGGCCCGAGAACATAGGCCACTGCATCTACATGGGAGACCTGGAGGAAGTTCCTGGCTCCTGACTTTGGCCATTTGAGGAATGAACCAGTGGATGGAAGACCTCTCTCTCTCTGTCTCTGTCTCTCTCTCCCTTTCTCTGTGACTCTTCCAAATAAGTAAAAATGAAAAGAATTCCTCATTTATCAATCCTGTATCTATCTCTACTCTAATTGTTCTACTTCATGATATAGAATCAGACACTTAAGTGTGGTTTATAACATCATTTGGGTTTTATCTCCATTTTGATGACCCTGTTTCTATTTTAGCTCCACTACGTATAAACATCTACCTTAGATACTACAAAATAGGCCCCCAGAGGTACCTACTCCACCATGTTTTAGGTAGGTGTGTTTATGCGGGATACAGCATTTCAACATGATAGTGATATATGAATGATGGACCAGTAGCAGTTGCTAGGGGTTGGGCCTCTCACCTCTGCATCATCTCATTTTATTTCACAGGACTAAGTGTGCACATTAGTTCTGCTGGTGCTATGCCCTTGATAATGAACAGCAGGGGAACTGCACACTGAGCCTTTCCTTCTACATTCTAAGGAATAAAGATGTAAAGAGGGCTCTGGAAAGACTCTGGATCCTGTGAGACGCTGAGAGGAAGCTAAGCAAGTACCCATACGTGTAGACCTCAATGACCATGAGCCTGAACTTGTGACTCCTTGATCAGATTTCAAGCATAGAACTTATCCTTCTATTTGTTTCCTGGGGGTTACATTATTCGATTTCCAGCTCTGTGTATAATTCAAGCAGTTCCTTTGTTAAGACTTTTGCTCCCTTGAGTTGCCACAATTTTTTCATTTGTGTCTTTTCACTTTTCCCCAAAGTCTTTCCAAACACTGAGTCAAAAAAGAATTTGGAAATTCCCATTTGTCTTGTGTGATGGTGAAGCTTGCTTTTCAGACCAGTGTTAAAAGGTTGGAAAAAAGATAAAGAGAATTGACATTCTAGAACATGTTGGCACCTGACACTGCATTCTTACTACCGAAAATGCACTGGGTACAATAAAGGGACAGGAGAACAGATGAAACTCAATGTAGAAACATGACCTCTGTGATAAAGAAATATCAGGGCCAGTGCTGTGGTGTAGTGGGTAAAGCCTCTGCCTGCAGTGCCGGTATCCCATATGGGCACCAGTTCCTGTCCCGGTTGCTCCAGTTCTGATCCAGCTCTCTGCTATGGCCTGGGAAAATATTGGATGATGGCCCAAATTCTTGGGCACCTGCACCAATGTGGGAGCCCCAGAAGAAGCTCCTGGCTCCTGGCTTCAGTTCAGCACATGTGCACCCATTGCAGCCATTTGGGGAGTGAACCAGAAAATGGAAGACTTCTCTCTCTCCTGTCTCTCTCTCCCTCTGTCTCTCTCTCCTTCTGCCTCTCTGTAACTCTGCCTTTCAAATGAATGGATGAATCTTTGAAAAAAGTAAAATAAACAAATATCACGCACCTCCTCCCTTCATGCTGCTCACCATCCACTCACTCTTCATGTTTCACTATGTCTCAGCTCAAATAATTATCTGGAAATTACATCCTCTACTTCCATCAAAACTTATTGAAATCCCCAGTTGTATTCTTTTATAGCATTAGATAGCTATCATTACATTTGTATGTCACTCAGCATTCCCTACAGATTTTTTTTAAGATTTATTGATTTATTTGAAATGCAAAATTACAGAGAAGCAGAAGCAGAGGAATGGAGGGAGGGAGGGAGGGAGAGAGAGAGAGAGAGAAAGAGAGAGAGAGGGAGGGAGAATCTTCCATCTGCTGGTTCACACCCTAAATGACTGCAATGGTTGGAGCTGGGCTGATCCAAAGCCAGAGGCCTAGAGCTTCTTCCAGGTCTTCCACATGGGGCAGGGGCCCAAGGACTTGGGCCATCTTCTTCTGCTTTCCCAGGCCATAGCAGAGAGCTGGATCAGAAGTGGAGTAGCTGGGACTCAAACTGGTGCCCATATGGGGTTCTGGCACTGCAGGTGGAGGATTAACCTACACCACAGTGCTGGCCCCTCCCTGTAGTGTGGGAAGCAACCTGGACTAGACTAAGTTACTGGAATTAAGACTTATTCTATGCATCTGCTCTCCCACAATATGGCGCTGGGAGAGAAGAAAACAGCTTCTACACAGCTGCCTCCAGTTCAGCCAATAAACTGTAGGACTTGCTCCTGATTGGAGGAGAGCAGCGTACTCGGCGTGTGGGCAGCCAAGTTGGGATTGGCGGAGGAGGACTATAAAGGAGGAGAGAGACGGCATGCACCAGGAACATCTAAGGGGAACATCTAAGGGAACACCTGTGCAGCCCCCGAGAGAGCCGGCCGGCAGTGTGCCGCTCCCCTGCGGAAGTGGGGAATGTGGCCAGGGGGAACTGCCCTTCCACGGAGGTGGAAGGGACAGTAGCCAACCCGGGAAGAACCAGCAGCAAACCCGGGGAGGTCCGAGCAGACAAAAAGAACAGCGCAGGGTCCTGTGTCGTTCCTCCACGAAGAGGGGGAGCGACATAATGGTGCCGTGACTCGGATATGAAGCCTAGGCAGGGCTTAGTGTCGTTCCTCCACGAAGAGGGGGAGCGACACTGTAGTTTCTCATGACAGTAATCCACATAATTGGTAATCATTTTTGCTCTGATTGCAAGCAAAGTCATTTTCTGGTATTGATCTCTTTTTTCAAGATGAATTTATGTGGTCATAGAAAATCTGGGGGTGAGTTATACACAGTGGATGTTTTCAGTTGCAGGCCTCCTGCAGGGATGATAACCTTCATCTGTCCCCCTCTGGCCTGAACACTGGAGGGGACTTTATCTGTCTCTATAGATAGACCCATAAAACCTAAGCCATAAGCCGTCTTAAAGCAACACCACCATTAGGAAATCAGAACAGGAAATGGGGAATCGGTGCAGGGATCTGACTGCAGTCTGGCTGCTGGCAGAGCTGCCTTGTAGTGGGGAATTTCCCCTTCTCACACACATTGAACAGCAAGTGCGAGAGCAGCTGTCGGAGGTGGCTCCGTTGGAGTGCACGGAGGCACTGGCGCAGCAGTCCCCCACCTGTGCCCCAGGGCTGGAGACTTGGGAAAGCAGAGGCTGGGCACCGCGCCCAGAGCACGAGTCAGCATTCCTGTGAAGTTCATCCTCCACAAACTGTCCAGGGACAATTTCCCACGATCTGCCTCATATGTCCTACATTCTCTTCTCTCTCAAATTTGAACAACCAGTCTGACTATTCTTTTTTATAATTAAAATATGTACTAGTGATTGCTATAAACTTCCCTCTTAACACTGCTTTGGCTGTATCCCATAAGTTTTGATATGTCGTGTTGGCATCTTCATTCATTTCCGTGATTTTTTTTTATTTTCCATTAGATGTCTTCTATGACCCCACTGTTCATTCAGGAGCATGTTGTTCAGTCTCGACGTGTTTACATACGTTCTAAGATTCTTAAGTTCTTAATTCCCAGCTTCATTCCATTGTGGTCAGAATAGATACATTATAAAATTTCAATCTTTTTGAATTTGTTGAGACATGCTTTATGGCCTAGTATATGGTCTAATCTAGAGAAAGTTCCACGCATGATGAAAAAAATGTGTATTCTTCAAGTGGGGTGAAAGGTTCTGTAGATATCAGTTTGGTCCATTTGGTCCATAGTGTAGATTAGCTCTGTTGTTTCTTTGTTGATTCACTATCCAGTTGGTCTGCCTGTTGATGAAAGTGGGGTGTTGAAGTCCCTCGTTACTACTGTAAAATCTGTGATTTTAGCCATAATGTAGGTGGAGCACTACGATGTTCCCTGGTTTAAAGGGACAGTTGTAAGTGGAATGAGTTAGAGTTGGTCTGGTCGACATGGTTACAGCCATTAGAGAAGGATGGGAACTTCACACCTCAAAGAGGAATACAGCCCATGGATGTGTAATTAGGGGAAACACAGAAGATAAAATGGATGTGAGGGGCCAGGTGTTCAGTGTTGTGGTTAAGATGCCACTCAAGTGATGCTTGCATCACAAACAGGGTGTTTGCATTCCATGTTCCGCTCTCCTCCCAATTCCAGCTTCCTGTTCATGCACACCCAGGAAGGCAGCAGGTGATGGCTCAAGTGTGGATTCCTGTCACCCACGTGGAAGACAGGGATTGAGTTCTGGTTTCCTGATTTTTGCCAAGTCAAGCTCAGCTGTGGTGTGCATTTGGGGAGTAAACATCTCTTTCTGTGTGGGGAGCAACTCGGACTATACTGTTACTGGAATTAAGACTTATTCTATGCATCTGCTCTCCCACAATATGGCGCTGGGAGAGGAGGAAACAGCTTCTACACAGCTGCCTCCAGTTCAACCAATAAACAGCAGGACCTGCTCCTGATTGGAGGAGAGCAGCGTACTCGGCGTGTGGGTAGCAGAGTTGGGATTGGCGGAAGAGGACTATAAAGGAGGAGAGAGACAACATGCACCAGGAACATCTAAGGGGAACATCTATCTGAAGGAACACCTGTGCAGCCCCCGAGAGAGCCGGCCGGCGGTGTGCCGCTCCCCCGCGGAAGTGGGGAAAGTGGCAGGGGGAACCGCCCTTCCATGGAGGTGGAAGGGACAGTAGCCAACCCGGGAAGAACCAGCAGCAAACCCGGGGAGGTCCGAGCAGACAAAAAGAACAGCGCAGGGTCCTGTGTCGTTCCTCCGCGAAGAGGGGGAGCGACATAATGGTGCAGTGACTCGGATAGGAAACCTAGGCAGGGTTTAGTGTCGCTCTTCCACGAAGAGGGGGAGCGACAT